GACGATTTTCTCAGAGCGGCGCTGCATCCATTTCGGTGAGCGACGTTGCTTCGGCGGCGGTACGAGTTTCCTGGTTGGCCTCTTAATTGGGCCATTTTCTGTGCGTACCTCCACAGTGCGGATCTGTCCGTCCGCACCGTGGTAGACAGCTTCCACCCTCCCTCGTGGCCAGATGTTTCGAGGTAACTGACCGTCAGCTATGAGGACTAGTTCGCCCACCTGGAGAACCTCGCCCATGGGCCTCCCGCCGGTTTTGAAGTTCCGGTAGATATTCTCGGACCCAACGCTGCCAGAACATGTCAGCGAGTATCTGGGAGCGTCGCCAGTGTCTTTTTCTATTCATATCCTTTTTCTTCCAGAGAAGCGCTGTTTCTATGTGCCCGTCTTGTAACTGACGAGTGCTACTATTTAGTCTATCTTCAGCTGTCTTCTCTGGATCGGAGTCTGCTCTTCTCGGATTAATGATGAGAGATTCCAGCGCGAAATATTCGCGGAGTTGATCATTTATAGTCCCCTCGCTCTTGTGCAGCTCATTGGCCGGGATACTGGGCTTTAGTGTGTGCCTCGTGTAGCACCCATCCTAATTCTGTGAGCGAGGTAATTGGCTGGTGCGGCGGACCTCTTCGGATTTCAGTGGCTATCAGAAGTCTCCAATTGTCCTGTCCTATTAGGTTCCTTGGGTTGCCGGAGTCATATATTAGCTGCTCCTTCATGTCTGCTGCACGCACTGTCTGTGGCCCCAAGTGTAGGCTTGCGACCGTGCGTGCTCTGAATGGCACCCTTTTGCTGTGGAGACTCTTCAGTGATACTTTGATTCTTCGGGATTCCGGTGAATCGAGGGTAGTGTTCCCGATAGCGGTGATCTTAAACGGGTCCAACCGCCCTATAGCTCCAATTTGTTTGGCGATCTCTTCATCCATTAGTGAAACTGTTGACCCATCATCCATCAGGGCGTATGTGTTTACAGCTCCCGCCGGTCCAATTACTTCACTGGAATTATTTTTAAATAGGCTTGATGCTTTGACACAGCGAATGAGTTAGCTACGGTTTCTTGAGGTTCTTTTTGTTTGACCTCAGTCTTTTCCTTTGTATTATTATGGAGAAGTCGATTGTGTGTCGCGGTGCATCCTTCTATTCCACACTTATTGGTTTTGCATTTGTGTGTCTGATTTCTATAACGTAAACAGCGGAAACATAAATTATTTTGCTTTGCGAGTTCCCATCTTTTGTTGATATCTGCTTCCTTAATTTTTTTACATTCGGATCCGTAGTGACCCTCCTTTTCGCATACTCTGCATTTCGGAGACAGCTTAGTAGTAGCCGCGTGTGCTCTATGTACTGAACGATTACTTTGTGCTTCGTTTATAATTTCTGGAGGCGCAAATGCACTGCAGAAGCGAGCTTGCTCGGTAATAAACTCGCTGAAGCAGCCGAGGTCTGGTCTAGAGTCATATTTTCGGTGTAGATTCTATACCACTGGGCACGTATAGAGTTTGGCAGTTTGTCGGTGAGGTATCTGGACGCCCAAATTGTAGCTCCAGTTTCGCATAATTTCATCTGGCTTAGCATGGCAAACTGACTGTTTCCAAGGCTCTTCCTTGTAGACTTCGTCTTTGTCTAGCAGTGTTTTCAATGTCATTGAAGTAGCCTCGGGTTGTTTCGTAAATGGCACGGAATGAAAGCCACTCGGTATGTGCTCCGCTAAAGCTTGGCCGTGTCATTATTGCTTTCGACGCTGCGAAAGTATGCGACGATAGTGGCGCACTCTCTAATTTTGATTTGTCAGCGAGCGCGGCTATAGCGGATGTGAGCTCAAATATAAATGGACAGAGCCCCCTGTCTTCACTTATGACGGGTTCCTGGCTAGGTATCTTTGGCATGAGATCCTTGGGTACATCTGCTGAATAGGAATCCTGGTATGTGAGTTCTGATACAATCGGTAGGAGCCCCCTGTCTTCATTAACGGTGGGTCCCTGGCTGAGCTTCTGTGGCATGGGATCCTTTTGTACATCTTTTGGTTAGGAATCCTGGTTCGTGAGCTCCTTTTGGGGCTCACTGAGGTCGACAACGTCCGGGGTTGGCTTTATGATGGTTTTATTAAATAGGGTCTTCCCTCCGGTGGTTGCGCCTTGATTTGACTTTTGTTTAGCTACAGAGTTTTCGAGCCAAGATCGAACGTACTCACTTTTGGAGTGACCATCTTCATCATAGTCGTCTGATTCGTCTTCTTCTTCAGCCATCTGTAAGGAGATCCGCGCAAGTTCTAGTTTGATCTTCAATACTTCTTCACGAGCCTACAAAATTCTTCTATTGGGCCGAACAGTCTTCTTTGACTTCGTACTGCAATCGGTGTGGCCCCTCTGTGGCTCTTCGGTGTGGGTGTCTTCCCGGGCTGTTGGCGATGATGCACGGCTAAAGTCATCGTTGCCTTCTATATGTTCCCTATGCTTCGATGTGCGGGCCGTAGTGGCCGGCGCGGGCAGGGGTATCCCCCCCTCGGGAGGGCAGCATGGCACCTCAGCGCCCTCTACCGTTGAGGGTGAGCGTGGTGGCATCTGGTGGTGGACGGCGGCGTTACTGGCCGACGAACCTCTTTCCAGACCGACGGTCCACGCCTTGGCTTCCCTTCCTTGCGAAGGGGTGATCGGCATCTTGAATCTGAAAATTCTGCGGTTTTAATACGGTAGTGACTATGTACCCGGTTCCGAAATACAAACGGATATATCCGGCTCGAAGGACCAACGAATGTGCTGGACGGGCGAAACTCTTCGGAGTAAATGTTGTTGAAGATACTTCGCGAGTCGCTCACGTCCTACACCTATAGGTTCCGGTGGGTACTTTCACTGCCGTCTTTGTGGGTGCCGCTGAGATATTGTGGACTGAAGTTCAAATCAAAATGCACGATTAATAAATACAAATAGCAAGGTAGTGGCCAACGGTTCGACTGATTGATTAGTCGCGAAATTTTATAACTATTTTTATTGACCACGGTTGTTGAACTACGGTTGTTAACTGTTGGTTGGTCACTGTATATATCAAAAGATTTATTTAAAATTGTACGGTAGTATCAAATATCTATTGGTAGTAGCTGGTTTTCTAACACTACTGACTAGCAGCTATTATCAACTAAACTAGCTGATTTTATCACTTGTGTAACTGCGGATATCAGTTACCACTTTCACTATATGTAACTGCGAATATCAGTTACGACCTTTTTGGGCTAGCTAACACTTTCACTATATGTAACTGCCAATATCAGTTACGACCTTTTTCGGCTAGCTAACACTTTCACTATATGTAACTGCGAATATCAGTTACGACCTTTTTCGGCTAGCTAACACTTCCACTATATGTAACTGCGAATATCAGTTACGACCTTTTTCGGCTAGCTAACACTTTCACTATATGTAACTGCGAATATCAGTTACGAAATTTTTCAGCTAGCTAACACTTTCACTGTATGTAACTGCCAATATCAGTTACGACCTTTTACGGCTAGCTAACACTTTCACTATATGTAACTGCGAATATCAGTTACGACCTTTTTCGGCTAGCTAACACTTCCACTATATGTAACTGCGAATATCAGTTACGACCTTTTTCGGCTAGCTAACACTTTCACTATATGTAACTGCGAATATCAGTTACGAAATTTTTCAGCTAGCTAACACTTTCACTGTATGTAACTGCGAATATCAGTTACGACCTTTTTCGGCTAGCTAACACTTTCACTATATGTAACTGTGAATATCAGTTACGACCTTTTTCGGCTAGCTAATACTTTCACTATTCACTATATACTACTACTAGTCACTTCAGCTATTACCGGATACCACTGCTTGTCACTGGTAGTTCTTCTCACTACTAGTAAACTAAGACAAAACTGAGTCCCTTTTATGTGTGAATATTTAAATCTGAGTGTTGTCGTTTGCATACGTAGTGGCCAAGACTAATGTGTGAATGTATGCATGTCTGTATAGATTGCTGCATTTGAGTATGCAACTTTAGTAACTTGGTATAAATTATGTAGTGAGTGATCTTCGTATTATGTAACTTTATTTTGTCCAATACTTATTAAATAAAACAATAATTGAAAATTACTATATTTATTATTCAAAAGTGAAACAATAGTTTTACCAAAAATTTTATTCTTCATCGTCAGTTTCATTTAAAGTCTCACGCACGTTAGAGTCGTGCGGAGGTGAATGATATTCTTCGTGAAATGTTTTTGGAATGGCTCCGGTATCACAAAGACGTATTAGGTATCGGTATTTCATACTACTTATTTTTAATTTGGAATCGTACAAAACTCCGCCCGCCCTACTTGCTTCCTCATTAATTTTTATTTGCTTCTCTTTTTTCCCTTTCAACTGTCCTTTCCCTTTTCTTTCCTTTCCATTCCTTGATATGTTTTCACATAAAATTACTGTATGAGAGACTGATTCTTGTTTCATCGAGTATTTAACAAACATTTGGTTCGGATGTTTCTTTTTAAATGTGGCGATTCCTATTTGTTTGCATTATTTTAATGTTGCTGATGTGAATGTCTGTCATGCAGCTAAGTCATCTAAGTTAAGAAAATCTCTGTGATCCAGTGAGTGAACTTTGTATGGCCGTGGTCTTTTGCGGGCGGATTCAAAGTAGGTCGCCCATTGCGAAGAACCATAAACTATTAGATTTTTGACCTCTCTTTCTATCACTGGATGTACTGCATCGACAGGCATAAAAGTGTGCCCTGGCAGTAGGTAATTAAGTTGTATGACTTCCAAATTAGTGGCCCTCTTGATAAAATTGTTCACAGCAGCCAGCACTATTTTGTTTTTATTTTGGCCGCTACATAAGCCGCAGTATAGTATTAGGTGCTTTGTGCCTTTTCTGTCCATCACATCTAGATACTTCAACAGGCAAGTAGCTATTTTATTGCTCCCACGTTTGCCATCACACTCTCCTCATGTGTAACAATAAACGTCCTGTGTATCACTTTCATAAAATGTTAAGTTTTAAACTGCATATTTATGAGAATAATATAACAGCATACTTTCCCCATGCGGTGTGTTTAAAACTTTCTGTAAGTCAAAACTAGAAACGATTGTTTCATTGTTTAATGTCCTTAGATTTTGATGGATCTTGAATCTCAGTTTTGTAGCATTTTTTTCTTCAATATGTGCATTCATCGACTCTTTATCAATATCAGTCATGGTTTCTTTGTTGTTTTCAGCGTTGATACATGTTATGCATTTATCTTTTTTTGGAATATGGAAGCTGATATTGTATTCCCTAAAAATACTTCTGAATACAGTCTCACTAACATTTTCTTGGCCGGTTTCATTGCAATCTTTAGTCCTTTTTCTGTTATAGTGCGACGGCACTGCAGGGAGTTTTTCAATGAAGCTCCTCACGTAACTTTTTGCTGCTTCTGTACATTTTGGTGGAGCATTTGGTGTTCTGTTATCTTTTTGGGCCATACCCTCTGTAGCATGTGATACGGTGTACAACATATATTTTTGAGTAATGTATAAGGTATCGAGCAAAAATTTCTGACACATTTGTTTGTAGCCTGCGCCATGGTTAATTAAATACTCGTACGTTGCGTTTCTTCGATTCGATGAACTTTCCTTTTTTCTCCTTTTTATGGGAACTAATTGAGAACAACGTACTATCTAATCCCGTCTACGCTGCGTGTCTAAACTCCAGAAATGTTGATTCAAAGAAGTAAGCCTTTCTTCAGAGATGTTAAAACACCCTCTGGCACACTTTCCAGGAATACATGAATTAGGTTTCATTTTTTTCCGGTACAAGTTTTCCACTCTTGTTTTCATAATTTTTTCTGCATCTTTCAAGGTCTTAGTAGTTTTACGTTTATTAATTGACTTCTCTTTTTTTCTTATTTGTAAATTTTTCCCAAATTTTACACTGGCATGTTTCTTAACTCTCTTCTTCTTCATCTTATTGGCGACGTGTTCTTCACCACTGATTGAGTCTGAGTCTTGCATGACAAATTATCAGAACTATCCGACGAGAAGTCTAGTTTTTCTTCGTCGGACAAAAAGTCTATAAAAAATTTCTTCACTGTTTTGTTCCTCTTTCTTTTTCCTGATTTTGTCCTTTTGTCGATTTCAGCATGATTAAGTGCTCCGTCCAAAGTAGTTCTGTGAATTTCAGTGCAGAAAATACCATCCATTGTAGTTTCTACCGTATGATCTTCAAATAAACTAATATTTTTGATATCATAATTTGAGTTTTCTTTGCGGGTTTTAAACTCGATAGCTCTTTTAGCATTAGATGGTACTGGTGCTTGTTTGCATGAAGACTGTAGTAGATATCCGTAAGTAAAAGCATCTGAGTTTCTTTAAAGATTCCAGAAACAGATGCTTTGGCACTAAATGGTTCTGCCACTGGTAAGTTTGGAGACTGCTGAAGAGATCCGTAAGTAGTAGCATCCCAGTTTTCTTTACAGATTCCAGAAACAGAAGCTTTGGAACCAAATGTTTTTGCTGCTTGTGAGTTTGGAGACTGCTGAAGAGATCCGTAAGTAGTAGCATCCAAGTTTTCTTTACAGATTCCAGAAACAGAAGCTTTGGCACCAAATGGTTCATCTTCTGGTGAGTTTGGAGACTGCTTAAGAGGTCCGTAAGTAGTAACATCCCTATTTTCTTTACAGATTTCTTTGGCATCAGATGGTGCAGCTGCTGTACAAGATGTGGCCACGTCAGTGGTAGCGACTGTGTTGTACTTACGGGTTTCAGTAATGGTTCATATTTCAGCATTTCTCGAATCTTTTATAACAACATCTGATAGTATGTGAATCTTTTTTTTGGGTTACTATTACCGTTATCTGTTTTTAGTGGACTAGTTTGATGCTCATTTCCAAAATAAGTATGTGAGGGAGGAAAGGTAAACGTCGAAGTAGCTATGTTATCTTCGCCACTTGAGTTTGATATAGTCAAATGACTTACATTCCCCCTTTGACTAATGTTTTCATCTTCGCTGTCTTCTATTACATCGGTGTCGTTACTTCTTCGGCTCTCAACTAGATAACCTCCTACTTCATCAGGAAAACTGATAACGGTTTCAGTCATTGTGGGATGAAACGGATTTACTTCAGGAATTGGTACATGCGTGCATGTTCTATAAATAAAACGAGTACTTTCAATAAATAACATAAATTAGAAATAAATTACATAGAAGCTAAAATTAGTCGATAAAAAGAAAATATTTTTAAAATAACATGCGTTTACTCCACAGAGGTTCTGGGTGCTTCTGAAAGGTCCTGTAGAAATTCAGGGAGTGGTTTTACTCACCAATACATACATATTATTTTATTATGGGACAAACCCTGAAATACCGAAAAAAAAATCATCTGTCCTATTCATTTTGTTGCAGTAGGTATTGAAGATTAGTATGGAACAACTGATAATTATGTTTCTTGCCAATTCAGAGTTCATCACGTAGTAAAAGTTGGATGCAATGATGAGTGAAAGAATAGCCGTAATTTCTACAGGACCTTTCTAAAGCATCTCTGCAGTATAGTGATTAGTCAAGAAAACATTTTCTGCCAGAGTTCTCGGGAATTTCTCGCCCTGAGAGAGAATTTACTAGGAATCTATACAAGGTATAATACAATGTAAAGGCGAAAGAAAGACCTATGAATGTATCGAATACTTATATCAGGATTATATGTAGGTGGGAAAGGCAAAATAAAATATTTATAGTGGGTCGTATAGCACAGTACTCCGAGGACAACACCTACACTATGCAATTATGTGTTACAGAAAGTCAAAAAACTATTCTAATAAGCGCGCCAAAACAGAAGTCACTTAAATTTAACCTTTATTGCCAATACCATAAGTTAGAGAGTCGCACTCTACTTTGCATGAGAAAGTTAGGTAGGTGGTATAGTTCGGTTGTTCGGGACCGGTATTTTGTAGCAAAAATGCTGGAAAGTAAACACTTATGCCACTTGGTAAACGTTTAATTTTGTCAGGATAATACCAAAATACAAAAGAGATTTAAAAATATAAAAAGAAAAACAATTAGTATGACCGAACCCGACAAAACAACTGAACTACTGAGACTAGAGGAAATTTATAGTGGGTCGTATAGCACAGTACTCCGAGCACAGTACAAACAATACGCGTTTACCTTAACATTTTTCGATGATAATTAGCCAATGCAGCTAGTTGATTTCGACGCTTCATCAACGAATTTAGGCTATTCTCTTCGTTACAATTTTCCATCGCGATTCACGTAACTTAATTATCCTCTTTAACATTCAATTAATTTCAAAACAATCTAAGACAAAACGCCGTTAACACTTCGCTGTTTTGTTTACAACTAAACGTGTCGTCTGTCAGGAGTAGTGGAGTCGGTAAGCACAGGGGCGCGATCGGGAACAAATAAACTCGCGATGAAGACAATCAAAGAACTTTCCACATAGCTCTGTCTCTATCTAGCGCTAGTGTCTAGGCCATCGGCCGTCTAGATTCGTTCTTTTCGGAAATTGTATAAGTGAGAAAGACTAATAATGTTGGTTGGGTTGTATTTATTCAATTATCTGTTTACTGTTACTAGTGGTTAAGGTCAATTTAGTTTCTAGATAGAAGGCGTATAAGACAAATCTTCATATTTGCTAGGTAGTAAAGCACAATTCTAGTTTCTCTAAAGATGTAGTTAGGTAGTAAAGGACAATATGGTTTTCGTTTGAAATCTAGTAAGGTTGTAAAGAACAATTTTTAAACATTATGTGCTTTAGATCCTTAATCTTTAAGTATACTCAATTTATACAACCTAAACGATAGGTAATCATAAATAATTTGTGATTTACAGCCATAATTCACGTTAAATTTGCACGAAAAGCCCCAAAATTTGGAGTAGTAAAGAACATTTTTTCGAGAATTTCGCTACTTTGAGTATGTAATTCGAGAAAGAATGAAAAAACTGAATAAAATAGTGTAACTAACTCTATTTGACCAAAATGTGATATACGCCCTTTGAGCCCCGAGGTGTCGACATAAGAAAATATCAGAAATAAAAGTAAGTTTGTAAATAGAATAAACACTTACATCCGTGGCCTTTGATGCGTTGAAGTAATACAAATGTAGTATTGATAGATCCACTGCGGTCAAACGACCATACACTAACTCCATTATTGCAGCGCCCTGGTTTTATATAGCACCAGTAAGTAATAATTCTAATATAAAAAATTCTGCAGTGGAACTAATAGTAACTTTATGCGTCAACAAGCTTATCTCACATTCTGTTGCTTATCTCAACATTTTGTATAACACAAAAGAATGCAATTTAATATTTAGAAATCACTATAATTGATCATTCCTATGTTAGGCATTGAGTAGATTGGTACTGTAATAATCTACTAATAGCAGTAATATCATGGATACACTAGATGTACAACAACATCTGAAAAAGATTCACCCCAGTCTAGAAAATAATGTTTATGCTGCTAAGAGACTGCCCATGTATACCCACGTACCAACGTATATAATATGCAATTTGGGTCACATTGGGTAGCTTTATATATTGATACGGATTACGTCGGTTAATATTTTGATTCATATGGACGATCACCTGTACGATATCATCTAGAGTTTTTAAAAAGGAATTGTGAAAGATGGAACTGGAATGTTGATAGGATTCAGAATGAGTGGACTTCAGTTTGTGGCGAATATTGCTTAACGTATTTGCTAAATAAGTTTCAGGGATGTACAATGCATAGTTTTACGAGTATATTTGCAGGGAACACATTGTACAACGATATTTTAGTGGATGAGATGTTTCGTTCCTATTTTATAGATAATAAGTAAAAAGATTTTGTATTTTGAAAATAAAAATTGTAACAAAATTGGGTAATGTGTTATATTGATGATTCAGATTAGCGTTGTAGATAGGAACAAAGAAGTATAATACAATAGCACTGATAAGCCGACGCACACGCCGAGGAAGTATAGATAATGACAATAGATAAGAACAATGGGACGCTAATGACGGTGGAGGCCCTCACCGGATATCAATTAGATATTAGTTAATTGATCTGCACATCTCTGGAAGCGTGCATTCTACGCAAAAACGGACTACAGATTCGTGATCAGAGCATGCGAAAACCTTTTTTTTAGGATCGTGAGTCGACGAACGTTGTACCACTTCTGACTCAGTGAGCCAGAACTGGTACAGCGTAACTACTGCTGTCACCACTGAAGACTAAAATAGGATGCATAACAGCCTGTGTTTTTATTGATGTTTTATATACAATCGTATTATCGGCCTTGCAAAAACTGTTACTTGGCAGCAGGAAATGGTAAGAGAAGAAAATAATTAAAAATGATAAAAAAATATAGTTGATAGATATACGAGTGTAATTAAACATTACATAATACACACATACACATATAGATGGCCTCATTGGAAGGTATTTGAATTAGTTGCCACGTTTGGAAGGCAAGGCAAGAAGGGAAGGTAACCGCAATTTTGTTTAATTATTTTTGAGTTCTTATCAGGCAGATGCATCTCCTGTTTTATTTATCTTTGTTGTCTCTTACGAAACCCACGGGATAATATTATTTATTTATCGTTAATTAATATTATTAACTAGTTATTACTACTGTAAGTATTATAAGGTGGCAGTCTAAGATATTCCATTGCTCGTAAATGTCGTAAGTGCTTAATATGAAAAAGGCTAGAAAATTAGTGGGAAAACTATATGGTATTATAAATTAGACTTAAAATACCAAGCGAGTGACTGGGAACAGCGTCAAAAGTATGAGACGTCCGTTATTGTAAATGTCAATCTACTAGCCAGGAATCGTGATTGCAGCAAATCTTTTTTACTTTGGGAGCAATTCATTTTAATGTGTGGACTGTTACAGGTTCATCCATCCATCCATCCATTCATTACAGACTATAAAAGTTTATTGCTGTACACAGCCCTCCCCCATAGATTGCGTCATTTTTTTTATTATATATGAGCAGCTATGCAGGTCTAGGTAAAGAGACCAGTAATCACTGCGACCTAAAAGATCTATTGTGATCGCTGGTATGGCTATAGTTCACTGCTAAGCCCAATGCCTTCAATGAATCGAAGGAGTTGAATTTCACTTCTTCTGGGCGGAGAAGTTAGTGTCCCAGATGAGTGTTACGTTTGCGCATTAACGGTTCGCAATCGATTAGGATATGTAGAGGCGGTTCTTCCGTTATGGAACAGAACCGACACATCTTGGTTGCTTAATCCCAGGATGGACATGTGCTTTTTAAGACAACAGTGTCCAGTTAGGGATCTTGCCAGAATGCGCAATTTATTTTTACTTAATCCCAGGGCTTCTGAAGCGAATTTACGATCAAAGGCCCGGATTAAGGTTTTAGAATGTTTTAAGACTGGTGTGTCAGACCAGATCTTAAGTGATTTATTGTGATAAAGAGTTTCAAGGGTCAATCGGTCTAGGCTTCTTGAGATTCCACCAAATGGCTCGGGTCCAAATTGTGTGCACTTTGAGCCCTCCCGTGCAAGTTTGTCGGCAAATTCGTTGCCTACAATACCCTCGTGACCCGGAACCTATCTTAAAATGACCCTATTGTTACAACCCAGGGCGTTTAAACGGTTCACGCAGTCTCCAACTAGCTTTGAGTTCACTAAGTTTGATCTCAGCGCCAGCAGTGCTGCTTGACTACCAGAGTTTATGTAAATTTTATGGTTGACGTAGTGTTTTTGCAGATTGATTTCCGCATACCGAAGTATGGCGAAAATTTCTGCCTGGAAGATAGAGGTGCATCTACCCAAATTCATACTATGTTTGAATTTGGGGCGTTCCCCGTAAATTCCAAAGCCTACGTCGAGGCCCATTTTAGACCCATCGGTATACCATATGAGGCTACCGACCTCACAAGTAACCTAGCCATTCAGCCAGTCTTCTCTGGAGGGTAATTCCACTATATACTTTTTATCAAAAGAGTGTAGTGGACGCATGATATCTGAGATCATGCATAAGACCGGTGATTCCTTAATTGAGTCGAGCATGGATCTCAATCTGTAGGAGAGCAAGCTCAGACCGCCCTGGGCGTTAATCCTTTACAAACTAGCCCTCACCTCCTTCTCTAGATAGAGATCAAGGGGCGTTAGGCATATAAGTGCATTAAGAGCCGCTCCAGGCGATGATCGCATAGCTCCAGTTGCCATTAGGCAGGCAGTCCTTTGTAGACTATTTAGTCTGTCCGCAGTTGTCTTTTGGGTGGCTTTGTTACACCAGACAATAGAAGCGTAAGTGAGAATCGGCGTCACTATACTGCTATACAGCCATAGGACCATACTGGGACGCAAGCCCCAGTTATTCCCGACCAAACGACTGCACGTACCTAAAGCAATTTTTGCCTTATATCATACGTTGCTAAGGTGAGAGTTCCACGTTAGTTTTTGGTCGATTGTTACACCCAAGTACTTAACTTCCGTGGAAAATGTTACTACACCATTATGTTTTGGTTGAACTAATTTGTCCAACCGTCTCTTTTTGGTAAAGGGTATTATAACAGTTTTATCACCATTAACTGATAAACTGTTATCCCTACACCAGTTATTTATGGTGTTTAAGGCTCTTTGTATTATTGACGATAAAGTACTTTGGCAAAAGCCCCTCGCAATGATCACAAGGTCATCAGCATAACCCAATGTGTCAATGCGTAGGTCTGTCATTTTTCACAATGTTTGGTCAACCGCAAGAGTCCAAAGAAGGGGTGACAAAATATCTCCTTGTGGGCAGCCTCTTGTGGTTGCAACTTCAATCGAAGTTTGAAACAGCGCTATTTTTGCCTTTCTATTCGAGAGCATCAACTTCACCCATCTGATGGTTGTGGGGTCAACATTTTTAGATGTTAGGCCCCCAATCAGCAGTGATGTGAGGCTACTGTCGAAGGCGCCCTCAATATCTAGAAAGACACAAAGAGCTATTTCTTTATCCTCCAGTGCTTTTTCGACCCTGTCAATGACACTGATCAGGGATGTTTCCGTAGATTTCGAGAGAGAATGGGCCTCGTAGCTAGAGCTACATCCCTTCTATATCTATCTATAACCTTTTCCAATGTCTTAAGAAGAAAGGAAGATAGCCTTATAGGTTTAAAGGACTTTGGTAAAGCGTAGTCCTTTCTACCAGCCTTAAGTATAAATAGAACCTTGATAATTGTCCATCGTTCTGGAATA